TATTGTCCGGCATCCATTCGCTCAGCCTTTACTCATCACCTTCGCTATCTGCAGTCATCAAGGATGCCCACTGCTTGTTGCCCCAAGTCAGATCTCACTGCCAATCATAACCAGACTTGGTAAAGGCGTTCATTCTTGGACTGTCCCAGAACCAGTTCACCGGCACCAATCGCGTACTATCCCGCCTCAAGTCAACAGACTCCACACGGGGTTACCCGACATCCCTTGCAGGTTCCCGTCCAAGCCCTTCCGCCTCACTTCAAGCACATTTTGTTAAGCCAACCATACCGCTGGGTCCATACCAAACTCCCAGTTTTTCTCTACAGTACTCTGTACGGAACGTAGGATCGGAAGATGACTCGGTATATCCACCGCACATCTTCAGATTTCCAATAGCAGAAAAAGATTGAAAACAAGCCTAGAATGGATAACCCAATTACCTCGCTCCTTTGGTGTGTTGAGCTGAGCTGAAAGTGTCTGTTCGCGCGTTGACCCACGTTCTCGGACAACTGTCACCTACGGATACTAGCCTCGTGATAGACAATCGACATTCCCGGCATCATAAGCGGTCACCTCCAGCCTCCAGATGACTGTATGTAACTGGGGACATTGTACACCGGACTGAGGAAGTCCTGATTCTGATTGATCTCTCCGGCCCTAGCATCGCGTCGTATCGGTCTTGCCCACTGGCAGGCTTTTGCGTCGTATGCAGCCACGACTGGGATAGTCTGCCACCGTCCAACTCACATCAGGCCATTATCCAAGACATATTTCACTAACGCTATAGACACACGAACTGATCGGTTGTCTCGAATGCTGAGCGTTGCCTTTTTTGCTGTTTCGACTGCGTATGCACACGACGAGATATCCTGCCAAACATTCGATCGAAAAAGCAAGACAAGACAATAAATCATGCTTGAAGCAAGATGATGAGCTAAAAAGAGCGGCGAGGGGAAACGACGGGCGTTGCGAGGCTTTTGCCAGATTTGCTTTTTGCAAGACAAGTGAGAGGCAAGAGGTAAACAAGAAGCGCGGAGTGTTCGATCAAATGTGATCGTCCACTTAACATCTTGCACCATCTGCGGCTCCCCCGGTCTCATCACCACTTTGTTCCTTGGAAAGCTGCCTCATTGGTAGGCTGACCGAGACATCAGAATCCGCCATGCAGCATGCCGCCATCGAACCGCTGAGGGCGGTGTCGGTGAACCATCCCGGTTTTAGTAGATTGTGACACAGTATGTACAGCACATAGTCTATCTACTATCTACCACCTCCTGTACATACCTTACATGCATGCGTGCATGCATGTATGCACCGCGTCCGACGATGGCTTCACGAGGATCATTATTTTCCCCGCCCCGGACGTGCCGCAAACGGTCATGGCCCCCTCCCTACTTGTAGGTATGACACCGTTTCCGTCTGTCCTCGTGAGAACCCCTGCTATGGGGCTCGACACTATATACCCGACGTGAGATTAAAACCGCCGCTGATACCTCTTTGTTTGGCAGCCAAACTTTGATGTCTTCTCCTGGTCTTTAATCTCTGGAGTTCATATACGCCACCCTCTATTTACTATGATGAACATGTCTTCTTCGTCTCATGACCTTGAGACCATGCCGTCTTTGTCCCTCTCAAACTCAGCTACGACCGACTTCAATTCTTTACCAACAGAACTTCGTCTGAAGATATGGTCACGAGCCAGTGAGCCCCGTATCGTTTTGTACGGTGATCTGGTTCAAAAGAGCCGGTCTTATCCCTTGCCTACCGTTACACAACTCACTGCGGAAGCGCGAGATGAAACTCGCGTCGGGTACGAACCAATTGGTAATGGATCATACTTCGACTTCTCCAGGGACATCCTCCTCTGTGACCACAGGATCTCAGATCAGGTGACCGACCAGTACCTAGATGGTCTTGCCCCGCGGATACGGCGTCTTGTCTTCTGGGACTGCTTCCCTGATGATGGACGGGTGGAGGGACCCTATCACTATTCTGTCTATCTATCGGCGTGTTACCGGCAGCCAGATTTTGGGAAAATCGAATTCGACAGGTTTTGGTTCCCTAACGTGGATGATATGTGGATTGTCAAGGTCGGGGAAATCGACCCAGCGTGGATGGTCCAGGTGGATCCAGAATTGCCATACAGAGAGCGACTTCAACTGTTGGCGAGGCAGTTCAGATACTGGGTGGACGAGGACATCATTGAGATGGCACCCCTGGACCTGAACGAGCCAGAATCACAAGCTGTCTTGAAAGACGGCCGTTGTGGAAAGGAAGACTGCCATGAACTCAACAGGCAGCGCAGTATCATGCTGTCCAAGGTTGCCTTCCTCGAAGGTAGATACAGGGCTCCTGATGACGGACAGAAATGGATCCGGATCATTTCATGGCAAGCTGGCGAAGAGAAAGTCGTCTACGAAAACAGGATGAGATGGGTGGTTGTCGAGAGAATTCTGACGTTTGACTTGCAACGGGATGGATGGAGCGAATCTGGAGTGGAAGTAAGACGACGTAGCATTCAAGGTAACTGAACTGGATGGGAGACACCTTTGACAGGCTCAAGGCCTTGCCACTGAACGATAGGAACTGTCAGTACCAAGGTCCTGGGCAACTAATATGTGCATCAAGTTCAACAACGGCACCAACACAAGGAAGAACAAATTGACACTCTCTGGGGGGTAAATGAAGAACAGGCATGGAGAGGGGCTCAGCATATGAAGAAAACTTATTGGACTACTATGTCCATACAGAAATGACGGGCACAACGATCGGAACAAGCTGTGGTCTAGGCGCTATCATTTTACGCAACTCAATGATGAAACAAGCAACGGTATCTAATTATTTAAGTATTCATTCAAAGCATACTGAGGTATGTTGTTTCTGTTATATATTGCATTTATTCATTTGGGTTTCCAAACAAGCAGAATGATTAAAGAAATGACAAAACTGAAAAAGACTACCTATTTCCTCAATCCTCAGGTGAACCTGCATATTAAGATTGAACTTCTGAACATTATAATGTTCTTGTATCGCTCTACCGTCCACAGTACTTCAGCTTGTTTACCTGACATGGAACATCTGAACACATCTCCTCATACTGAGATCGGCGTTGTTATAGTAGTGTTCAGACGAACAGAGAATGATATAGCATCAGCCTCTAACTGAACTATAGCCTTCCAATGAACGGGGATGTGATAACATGGACAACGTCCAAGGATGATGAACACTTCATCTTTATACTGATGTTCCGGATATGATTTGACTATAAAGCCAAGATAATATGCTCTAGGTAGTTTGCTAACCAGACTGCCAGACCATCTTCTACTTGCATTCACCAAGAAGAGATCCATTCCAACATCCCCAATTCAACCGCTTTGACCATATTCAAAATCTTGCTACCTCTACAATGTTTTTGGTACTTCACAACACAGAGCAAGTGGTGCTCGCTACCATGGGTAGCGATATTGACAAGCTCATTGGGCCCAAAATTGTCAGTTTCTTCCCTGAAAAAGCACCTAGATGCGAAGATGACTATCGCAGAATCGAGGCAACGATATACATCGGATCTCATATGCCTAGACCTGGACCATATCAAGTGTTCGAGCGACTTCACCGCACTCGTTTCCAGGACAGGAACCATCGATCGAGGCGAATGTCTGTCACAAAGGACACCTTCTTGACACACAACATGATCTTCCCAAAGGCCGTGCCCTCGCAGGCTGGACCTCCTCCTGGATATAACCTCATCAGTCTTGGCCTCCGTCTAGTTGCGTCGACCTTTGATTCTGGTGAAGTTATTCCACACATCCAGTTGACAGAATATGCTTGGCGACCTTTGAGCCTCGGGACATTTCCTCAACTTGAAGAGTTTACTATGATGTGTCTGCGACATACCAACCGCAGCTACCAAAGCCATTTACCCTTCCTCAATTCCTCAGCAAACAGACGAGGTGAGTACTATGGTTTCCGCTACCACCAAGATACCCACCGCGTGGAGCACACTCAGCTAATTTGGTCTGACGTCTCAGAGCTTGCACTCGCTGACGAGAACCCTGCAAATGGGCTATTTCCTTATACAATTGTCCGTTTGTGGATCGTCGGACAACGGCATGGTCGGTATAGGATGCCAAAAGAGCTTGAATGGACGCACCTAGACCTGCATGCGGACTTTAGGGAGCACCATCTCAACAAGATCAGAGACTTGTGGATTCTGACTCGAATGAGACTCGAGAACCCGATTCGAGATGAGACTTGTCAGATGGTAGTCTGATGGACTTTGGGCAATTATTTTATCGTGTTTATGAAAGCACAAGGATCGGGATGGGAGTGGAAGTTGGAATTGAAGTTGCTTCGTTTGATGCTTTGAGTGTAATGTTGGCCGTTACGCTCTCTTGTATTTGTATTCGATTTGTTAGTTTACCTCAAAATTAAAGGAAAAAAGAAAAAAAAAAGTAGAAAAGTCGCTTGGATATCATCATTGAATTAGCATTCGTGACTCAAATTGCTGTACTGTTGCTAGGCAAAGAGTAACAAGAATATGCTCTTGCCAGGCAGATGATTGTTTTGTTTACCTACAAATCTGTCTAGAACAAGGTTCAAGAGTTGATGTCATGTCGTCAGTGCAAATGGAGGATTTCATAATTGAATAGTAGTATTGGCGTGACAATTGTTGATATGCTATATGCCATTCTCGTCCTATTGATAAAGCAGTTGCCTAGGTAGACATTGTTGCATGCATACCTGGGCTTTATAACCCCTGAGTTACTGCAACCAAGCACCAACAGTATACCCAAGGCACTGCAATTCCTCAACTATGACCACCAGGATCCTTTTGACGTGACTTGTATTTATCTTATATGAAATGCGGCAAGTAAGTGTTGAGTATAAAGATACATATTCGACTTCAAGACAAGAAAGTCCAACGCTGAAACAGTCTACCCCCAGTAGTGTACATAGCAATGGGCTCGTCAAATCCGGCTCTGTATAATCCTACAGAGATATTATATTACGTTCCTCCGATCGTTTCGTTTCAAACTCGAAGCTCGTGACCATTCTCCTGCTGATTTCCGTAGCCTGTTGCCCAGACTTATGCTGGCAGCTGAAAGGCCCTGCATTCGCGAGGGAAAAGAGGACTCAACTCTCTCCCAGTTACGAGGCATCTTTGTGTCGTCGTCGCTATCATCCAAGGCTGGACCAGGCAACATCATCATATGTCTTTGCCCCTTGAGCATGGCTCCCTGAAGGGCTGCCCATGATTCAACCTGGCCATCTGCTGCCTCCTCCACACAGTTGCACTCGTCGCCTGCGGGGCATTGCGTTTCGCCGGCAGCATGCCACTCTGCTAGACACGCCTCATGACTTGCGCAACCACAGGCCAAGCATGGAGGGAAGAGAGCATCCACAGGCTCAAGGCAGTACACACATGTGAGCTGACTCTGAGTCTGATGGCAGCGATCACATGTACCAACAGCACCACCGACCTTGGAGTCACTGGAACTATAACGAAGTGGCTCCAGCTGGATCTCGTGTATGCGGCACATCCCTGTGACATCAAGACCGCGGCCTGATGCAAGCAACGCTTGAAGCTGATCCTTCTTGCCCATGGCGATGGGCGATGAGTTATGTGCTTTGCCATCGTGGCCAGCGCCAGGCTCATGGAAGGCGTCGTCACCATGCCCTCCAGTCATGTCCTCCTTGAGTGAGTTGAATTTCATAACCTCGAGTCTGGAGAGTGGTTGATTCCACATTTGCAGCATTTCAGCATACGCATATCGATAACGAGCATGGACATCTGCCTGGCTGGGCTCGAGCATGGATACGTTCAGCCAACCATCATCGTCGAAGGCGGTTTGATCCTCCATTGTGACGGCAATCTTTGTGGGCACAAGTGACAGATAATCATCCCTCCCATAATCGTCCTCATCTAACGAGGTTCTCCCACCAGTCGAGTCCATCGTGGTCGACGCACTCCATGTAACGTTGCCCGGAGCCAGACTGCTGAGGATCGTCTCAGCAGGGCTGGGTCTCTTTCTTACTTGATTTGGAGGTGACGACGAGCTGACCCCTGCAAACGAACGTGGCAGGTTGGCAGCAAAAGCTGATGCCAGACCCGAGTTTGCTCTATTTAGAAATCGCGTGTTTGGAGACGTAGACACGCTGGGCGGTGCCTCGACTTCCCCTAAATACCCCTTGAATTTATTTGGCGGCGTCTCTCCACAAGAGTACGAGTTCGATGCTGCATCGCCACCCCATATGCCATCGTCTGAGGCCTGAGATCCAGAATAGTGGACAGGAGTGTGCACTGTCATCGGTGTCGTAATAGCTGAGTTGGTATAACTGCGTCCACCAATATTCCATAATGAGGCATCAGTGGGGAAGTAGTCCAGTGAGAAAGCTGGTGCCTTGAAGGGGAGCGGAGTCTCGGGCTGCGGTAGATGCGATTCAAAGTAAGCCACACTGTCTGCAGCAGAAGACTCGCTGAATATACAAGAAAGCATTGCCAACATTTGGATGTCGGCAATCTGCTCATAGTATGCAAAAAGGTCCATGATGAAGTCTCTGGCCAAGGGATGTCTACCCCATTTGACTCTGCCAGACAATGCACCTTCATGTCTTTCCAAAAAGGAGTCGAGAGGAGAAGTATCTGCATTGCACCTGGACACCACATCGTGGGCTATTACCAGAATAGAATCGCGCCTCTGATTGTGGGCGAGTATCTCGAGCGGAACGCCCTTCTTCAATAGAAGCCCAAGATATCGCCAGACATCAACCAGATCTCGAGCATTGTACTTCTCAGCAACCTTTGCGTTGTGCTCACAGACCTCGGCCCCGTCGCCAAATATGGCGTACTCACGCGCAAATTCCTCTTTCGAGGGGAGAAGACCACGGAAGTCATGTATCGAGATTAGGTTCTTGGGACGACCAGGCCTGCGACGACTTGTGCCAGTGCCAGTACCAGTGCCTACTCCTGTACCACCGCCACTCGAGCGTATTGATCTGTCTTCGCTCCATGTTTTCCTAAACTGGCGGCTAGGGTGGTACCAGAGATTAATCTTGTGCATTGACGTAGATTCCGAATCACTCGAAGATGATGAGGATGAAGACGATCCAGAGGCAGAGGTATCAGAATCCCCGCTGGATGCTGAACTGACTTCCGCCATAAAACGTTGTCGAGGCCCAAGATCATGTGCGATTCTGCCAAAGCCCGCAAAGAATGGTTCCCCCTTGGGACGTTCCCTATAAGCGTCCATAGTTGTTGTGAACAATGCGCGCGCCTTTTCCTCTTTGGAGGGGAAGAAACAAATCAATCGTCCGTTGTGTGAGAACCTGGCACCGCAAGTCCTGGGTGGCGGTGGCACGATTGTCCTATTCGGAGGCGCAAGCGCGGTGTCCAGCTCGTTATGAGGGGGCAGTTCTTGAGACATGGATGCTGAACCGCCAGCGGGGATATCCTCGTCGGATTCACTAGAGCTCTCGTCTGCTAGGCCATCGAGCTCATCATCTAAATCTCGAACATTCTTGAAGAAAGTTGTGCTGCTTTCAAGATCAACTTCCCCAAGGAGATACGTAAAGGCAACCTCGAGGCAATTCTTTTTTCTCTGCAAGAACTGATTGGCCAGTTGGTGAACCTCGCGATCAATCTTCTTGTGCGTCTCTGCAGGCATGAAGGACGATTTCTCAACATAGAACTTTGGTGCCCTGGTCTTGGGATAGCCGACTGGAATATCAATCCGGACCTCAACGAATATAGTTTCCCCATCAGCGCCCCAGGGGCCGTTCAGTGAGACGTTGAGAGTCAAACTATCCATATCAATGTTGTCCCACCTCACTTTGGGAAGTTGATGGCTTATGCGTAGAAGTTCCTCCTGAATAGACTCAGGTTCTGCCCACTCATCGTCAGGGTATCCATGGCCAAAGATACCCGAGTCTTTCGATAAGTGTCGTTTGGCGCTCGTTGATGCCTTTCTCTTAGTCATGGCAATTCCTTTCATCCATCCTATTTGCGACTGGTTACGATCGACGGATCTTCCAGACACCTTGGCCTTCATCGAAGGACCTCGCCACGCCATCGATGTACGGTGGCTTTGAGTTGTGCCTGATCGCATTCCTAGAGTAAGAGCACTTTGCTTATGATAGCTGTTGCTAGGCCGGTGATCACTCATTGTGGCAGATTTACGATCGCGATCCGTACTTTCGTCGACTGTACGGAAAGTCTTGTATGTTGCGCCTTTCCGAGTGATGCTGATTGCTGGATCGGCTGGCATGCCGCGTTTATGGCCGATAGCGGCGAAGATTTTGGGGTCGATGCATTGAAGCTTCAGTTCATTGTCCGTGCCCCAGGAGACGAGCTGGAATTCACGGTTGTCTTTACCGTCATCAGTTATGCCGCCACGGCATCGCCACAGAAATTCCTTTGCTTTGTGATCTCCGTGCCCCGGCCAGACATCGATTGGTTGACTCGTCACTTTCGATTCTGGTTCAAAGTTGGTGTCGTATAGATAAAGATCTCCCGGTTCGTTCTGGGGTATTGCGAGGAGGCCGTGTCCGAAAGGTGTATGACGAGCTCTCCACACTGGAAATCCAGTTTCAATGGTATGTTGCAAGGGCTCTTCCGCAGTATAGTCCCAGAAGTTGATCCTCTTGTCGATGGAACAGGAGACGATCGCCTTGGGGTCAGATCGATTCCAGTCCAGACCATATATCTTGGATTTGTGAGCTTTGATAGACTTTAGAGGCTCAGAAGAACGGCGTTCATCCCAAATATGCAGCCATCGATCGTGAGCAGAAGCCAGAATGTGAGATGCTTGGCGGTTGTATTTGACCTGAGATGCGCCAGCAGTCCAATCGCAGAAGGTCAAAACAGGCTGGCGTGGTCTTCGAAGATCCCATGCGTGAATATAGCCATCTACTGAGCAGGTCGACAAGAGGTCTGGATGGTGAGCAGACCAGTTGACGTCTGTAATAGCACGACTGTGGCCTTGAAGAGAATGTTCTATGGCACCTGAACTTGAGTCTTCCCTGCGATTTAGATTCCACACCAGGGCACGATGGTTGGCGGCTGAGACGATCCAGTAGTCGCGAGCAGCAAAGGGTGACCATTGGACATCCACAACCAACCACGGGAGGCCATGAGTCCTCAGTCGCCGCGGAGGGCTATAGGGCGAGTCAAGATCTATGATTGCCAATCCATCGGGCCTATTTGGTTGTTAGGATCTGTCAAGTCAACAGTACACTTTTTAACCTACGAAGCCAAAGCGACGTCTCGCCCAGCAGGAGAGATAGTGGCAGAGCCGACTAGGCCATCAACATGAATGGTGCCATCTGACTCGAAACTTTCGCTCTCGTAGGCGGATTTGATGACCTTGCCCTTCTTGGGGGCATCAGCAAGTTGGTCGAAGGAGGGCATAGTGATGGGCTATCTCGAGAGGGTATCACGACGTTCCTCATGTCGCAACTCATATGATAACTATGAGGTACCTTAAGGAGAGGAGACAAGGCGAGCTGCCACTGAATGGCTTTGAATCATGTCATCATCCAACCCACAAGAGGCCAAAAAAAGATAGAGGCGTTTAAGTACAGCAGGGGAGGAGAGTTGCCTAACTTAGGGCAAGGTATTCTTCAATACGAACGTTGTATAATAAAGAATGGATGTTATTAATGAAGTTGCTCACCTGAGCTCGCGTTCCTCACTGGATGAATGATTGACAGGAGGTGGTCAGAGCGCGCGACGTCGTTCCACAAGTACCCCCCTGCTGTTTGAGGTGTTGTGGTACATCCGCCATCCCCCGCCATTGAAGTGCCCGCCTGTGAAAGGTTTAGCACTTGAGACGGAACCTTCCGCGACCTTTATTAGGCATGTATTGTAGGAATGGTTGTATGACAGCGCCTAAAGGACATGTACTTGAAAGTATAACTCTCTCTACCTACTAGAGACAAACTACCTACTAAACTAATGGATGCATATGGCTTATCTCTCTGCCCATCTTTGCCTAACCATTTGTTGATAATCGTCACTTGATTTATTAAACGATCAGGTGTTCAACAATTCTATTCATTTGTGACGCGCTGCCAGAATCTTTCTCTTCATTTAATCACTCCCATCGGGGTTTGTTACTTTAGTAGATTGCTTGCTTCCCGATAATACTGGGCTACTAACTACCTACCTACCTGCCACTGCGACTGCCCCGCCGTTGACCTTAATAAGTCCCGCCAGGTATTTCAACCATAGGTAGGTTCAACTCTAGACCTCCTCACCCAACCACAACCTTTCTATACGTGGCTCTATCGAAAGCTACCGCTACGACGACACGATATCTTGCGAACAAGCACTCGCCGATACAAGAACCGCATCCGCCGATAACGAATATCATCGAAATACCTTCACACACACACACCCCGACTCCACCATGGCTCTCCCCAAGCGCATTATCAAAGAGACAGAACGGCTCATGGCCGAGCCGTAGGTCATCCCCGAGGCCACAGGTCTTGCGCCTTGACTTCGTAACCTAACACTCGTCCCGATACAGTGTTCCAGGAATTAGTGCCGTTCCTCACGAGGATAACCTCCGATATTTCGATGTCCAAATTCACGGTCCTGCCCAGTCTCCGTATGAGGGTATGTTCTGAATCATTACCGGCTGATCTGCCGACTAATCGAGACTTCAGGTGGTGTTTTCAGCCTCGAGCTCTTCCTCCCTGACGATTATCCAATGACTCCTCCCAAGATTCGATTCCTCACCAAGATCTTCCACCCAAACGTCGACAAGCTCGGTCGTATTTGCCTCGATGTCCTCAAGAGTGGGTTGCATATCAGGATGCACATATGTCTGGGACGGCCAAGCTGACAAACGCTACAGATAACTGGTCTCCCGCCCTTCAGATCCGAACTATCCTCTTGTCGATCCAGGCCCTCCTCGGTGCTCCTAACCCGGATGATCCTCTCGCTGCAGATGTCGCCAAGAGCTGGAAGGAGGATGAGCAGGCCGCTATTGCAACCGCCAAGGAATGGACGGCCCAATATGCGAAACCTTGAGGGAAAATGATACACCAAGAATAAATACTTATGAAAAAAAAGGGGAATTTAAACGCCCAGGGATGATCAAGTTGGGAGAACAAATGCTGGAGTTTAGGGACCAAGCGATGTCTCATGGAGATACTTTCCGTTGACTTTGATTGTGTACGTTGGCACTCGCAGGTTTGCTCTTGTTCTTATCTGATAGATCTGAATGCTTTTGCTGTCAAGAAACGCATCGCTTTTTTGTCTAGTTTCATGCTGATACTTTCAAAAATACCTGCCGCTTCAGTGTGAAAGGACTATCCAACTCCTACTCCAGGTACCTCCTTGACCTTTCAGTTACTACTAGTTCGTTGTTCCTCGCCGTACCTTCACGACTACGACATGCCAGAGCTGTGGTCTGAACCTTGCTCCCTATGCAAATCAGAAGTTAATTGAGTTGGGAGACAACTTAAGTCCTTTTTCCTACACCAGGTGGTAGGATGGTGTTTATCCTTGAATATAATCCAACGGTAAGATCAAGATACTGGTATTGCCAACCATTCTATTGAATAAATTCTTGTTCTCGAATATATGTGTCGCGAGGAAGATCAAAGCCTCGACTCACCTAGAGCCTGGTACCTGAAAGGAACTCCAATATTTCGCAGCCTTAAATTGCATTTAAGATTATGTTTCCAATTCTTTTTTTACTGTTTTGCTCTATTGAAGGGTTTGAAGGGCTTACTGGGTCATGTTGCGGCGATAGAAGTGGCAATGGAGAGAACAATAATAAAACAGATCAAAATATCCTATCCTATCAAGCAACGGAAAAGGCATGCCCTATTCCGATCTATCTTCTTCTACTTGAGAAGCCATCGTAATCCGTCCAGCATATGTTTCTCGCAAGTCAAGGCATGATCGAGGTGAGGAGCCTTGAGCCAAAAGGTATGCGGCCAGCCCACTTCCACTTGAACCTTGACATCGATACCTGCTTCCCTAAGAATCATGGCATAGCATAGCCCATCCGAGTATAGGGGGTCGTTTGAAGTCAGCTGAATCCAGGTACGAGGGTGTCCCTTCAGCTCATCTTCCGAAACCTCAAGAGGTAGTTTCTCAAGGCCATCCCTAGGTTTGCTTCGTTGTAAATATCCGCCCAACGATGTGATAAACGTTTCAGACACGCTTGTGTGATACGGACGTAACTTTTCAGGTACAAATTCCTCGCCACTGGCTCTGTCCGCTGTGACTGGACACCTGAGTAGCAGTCCGTGAATGGTACCCTGAGGAGCTGCTTGCGCCACTGCAGATGCCATCTGTCCACCACTCGAGCTTCCAATAACGATAGTTCTTATCTTTGGATCGTGGAGTTTACGAAATCCGTCCAAGCTGTCAGAAAGACACACGGTAGCTGGATTCTGAGGCAGTAAGCGATATCCCACCGAGTAAAGTCGGATCCTGGCAATGCCTGACTTGACAATATGTCTGCATGATAGTTCTTCGCTATCCGCTTCGCCAACCCTCAAGCCACCGCCGTGGTAAAATATGACGATAATCTCCGGCTCCTCAGCTTCGGTACCTGTAAGGTCCAGCTGAAGGACAGGAATTGGATGCCCATCCACAGAAGAGGGAATAGTGAACTCTTGCTTCGTAACTCCTTGGGAGAGCTCATGATCTCGGGTTCCAGGCGCCGTAACTTGAGCATATAAGTCGCGACATTCCTGAGCATAAATCGGTTGTCGTTCTTCTACGCTGCTGAATACTCTAGGGGGGCCTTTCTTCTTGGCCTCTTCTTCATGTGCCAGCCAAGCAGCGTCTAATTGCGGTGCCGTCTTAAAGACATAGGTTTCGAGTTCCGGATCTGGAAAGGCCATGATAAATCTTGATCTTGTATTTTGGGAAAGCACTTGATTCGAGAAGTAGTTATTCGCAGTACTGACTATACGTTACGAGGGATATATGGCGTATCGTGTAAGTCGGGGTTTTCAGGCTAAAGGCCACGTGACACTGATATTACTGTATGAACTTCCAGCAAAGATATTGCACGAGACTACCTATTATCTAGAGCCTTGCAGACTTGGTCAATAACATCCTTTGAGTAGAGAACCCTCATATCGGAATAGCCAAGCCTGTGTTAAAACAAACAAGATAGAGGAGCCTAACCATTAAAGAAGTAACCTATGACAAACCCAAAAGAAGCTTAATCTTCACAAACCGACTCCTGAAATTCGAAAATGAGCAATTATCCAAATAGTGTACTGCCTTTCATGTAGTCCGACACCTGACTTGGACTTAAGTCTCAAGTTGTTTTCAGATATAGGGTATGCCAAGACATGAGTGATGATACAGATGACTAAAACATTGCCGAACAGAATGAACTCGATCGGATGGTGTGCCTGCAGTTAGATTACAGATTACTTTGGGTACATCAAGAGTGTCCCGTACATTAGGTGCCCATATAGTAATTCGGCCAACATCTCCCTCGGATTGTTCAATCTCCTGAAATGACTGCCTCCGTACTCGATAAGTATTGGGCCAAATATGGACGAAGGAGTGAAGGTTCATTCCAAATTAAATCCCAAGACAGCACTCGAAAGTGACGAGAACAAAGAACAAGGCTGCTCGGCGTGAATTGAGTAATCAAGAAACAGCAATGGGAGAAGTCCGAGGTTGGTCTGGGAACATCAAACCACATTCTAAACAACCCAATAACATTTCATTATAAAGCACAGAGGAAAAATTGTAGCGAATTGGAAATGAGACAAGCCGGGTTCTCCCTCGGGATCTCGTATCTACAATGCTAGAGTACACAACGCGAAGCCGGAAAAGGTATATCGCGATTCGTTTAAACCACAGCCAAGTCGCCGAACTTCTCCTGCAGTGGGTGTTAGTGCTGTCATTTCCTCTATCATCCGGACAACATACCTTGTATCCTGGCACCATCCATCGGCCCTTGGAAACGAGCTGATCAGTCTTCTCGTCGATAGACTTCTCGGCAGCGGCAACCTCGTCCTATAACTTGTGAGAATCGACCCAATAGTCTCAGCTTCGGCGGTACGTACGACAGTGAGCTCCTCGAATGGTCGGGCCTCCTCGATGTTCTTGAGGGTAGCGGCAAGATCCTTAAGCTCAAGGTCAACGGCCTCCTTGGTAGCCTCGGCGTTCTTGACGGCCTCGGCCTCGAAAGCGTCGATGGCCTTCAGTTGTCGGCTAACATCGTAGGTGACAGGCTTGAAGGCGCTGAATCGCTTCTCGATCTCATCGATGATAGCCTGGTTCTTGAGGATGGATCGGTACTGGGAGAAATCGACGGTGGTGGGCTGCTCCTGGAGCTGCTGAACCTTACGGCGGACGTCCTCGTTGCGCTTCTTGAAGGCCTGCAGGGAGGCAACGGTCTGGCCACGGAGACCGAGGGAGCTGGTGACCTTGGTCCAGTCAAGCTTGAGAGCTGCGCTTCGCTGTCGGAGAAAGGGAAAATTAGCTCAAGGCATCCTGAGACGTAGAGGCGCGCGATCGGGACCCGGGGGAGAATTTCGACAGCACCTGCGATCAGTCACACGCGCCAATTGGTGAATTGAACTTACAGTCGCCATTTTGAGGAAGGTTACGATGTCGAGAGAGCGGAGAGGATAATCTTGATTGACTGTTGATGACTTTGCCGAAGTTCAGGGAACTACCGGGCACTAAAAGGTCACGTGCTTTCACTCAAATATCCGGCGAGCGGCGTTTTCGGACCCCTCATTGACGTCGGCTCAGGATGAGCGAGGACAAGAATCAGGAAAATTGAAGTTCAAAAGCCGATCATTGGCGAGAGAATATTGAGTGATCAAGTACGAGATACCAGAAACTCTTACGAATCGGGATACGGTGACTCGGCGTAGATGGCAATTAGCAATTGATTTCATAAGTAGTCATGAGACCCATCGCTCATGAAATGAATATCAAGTCAGTCAGTCCGTAACAATCAGTTAACGAATACAACATCACGCATGGTCAAAATTTCAACAGCATTCTTTGACGGATTTTTGGGTGTTATTCCCCTTCAATTGTTTCCGTTATTTGGCATCAACTCCATTCCGCAGGGTACAGTTCGCCAAGAACTAATACAAGAGCCCAATGTTCGTCCCATGTACATGCTTTTTTGGATGATCGTCCAGCACAAGCTCATGCTTAGATACTTAGAGCCATGATGGAATTGACGATATCGTTGTCGTTCTCCTTCAACGCCTTGACGGCCTTGTTGCGGCTGACGTTGGCCTGGGTCATGACAAGCTCAATATCCTTATCCTCGAGTCCGGAAGCATCGACCTCCTCGCCATCATCCTCCTCCTCCTCTTCATCCTCGTCCTTGCCATTCTTCTCCTCAGCGGTCTCGGCAGCCTTGCTGGGCTCACCGTGGTTGTGGCCAGAGTGGTCCTCAGCGTTGGCGGAGGCGAGCTGAGCAGCAGCAGCTTGTTGAGCAGCGGCGTTCGTATCCTCGATCTTGGCCTCACCGAAAACACTGGCTTGAGGTCAGACGCAGATCAATCATTTTACAACAATGCAACTTACATGTAGGTGTTGCTGTTGGGAGACTTGTAGACCTCGGGGTTGTTGATGACGAAGAGGATCTGTAGCACTTCGGTTAGCACCAGACACCTCATTTTACCCTTCCAACCTCTTCAAAGAATCCGCCGGCACTCACGTTCTTAGGTCGGCGGAGAGTGACACGGGTGATGCCAGGGATGCGGGTGAGGTGCAGCTTCTCGAGGGCCTTGCGAGCCTTCTTCTCGTTGCGGTTGTGGATCACAGTAGAACCAGCGGGGAGCTGGCCCTCACCGACCTCCTCGACCTCGGAGTCGTCGCTGGAGTCATCCTCGTGCTCCTGGACGGTGGTCTTCTTGGGCTCCTCGTCGGGAAGTTCTTCAACGCGGGGGTTCGACATTTTGGCGACTGAAGTGCGGGCACAGATGTTAGTAAATCTCAGGTAAACAATTTGTGGCAGCAAAATCTTCCCGAGACCGCAAAAAATCGAAAGCAAAATAACACAATAAACGTAACGACAGCTGCACACTTACTTGTTTTGCTGATCCCAGTTACGTCTGTTTGCTGGCCTGATCTCTCACGTCGTCGTTTTGTGATGGGGTCCTCGCACAGCGATAATTCTAGGGCTTGGTGGGAGGTGGGAACTAAGGCGCATTAGGTAATCAGTTTCTGTGTCACTACGTCCCCCCCCAGAATCCGGATGTCCAAGATTGAAGAACCTAGGTAAGTGACGACGAGTGGAGGGAAATATATGGACAATCAGGGCAACAATTAAGGCTGAATATGGGGATACAAAGTGGCTGATTGTAAAGACATGCATGCATGCACAGGCAGCGGAGTTTTGGGGTATTCATTTCATTTTTATTTCGGCTACAGTTCACAATGAATCCATGTTCTTTTTTTATGCTCCTTATGCTTTGAATTCAGTTGATCTCAGAATTTCCGTATTGACGCCGCTCATCATGATGATGAAGTGTGACATACAGCCTTCCAGAACGGAGCAAAAGTGAATCCAGCAGCCTCTATACCGCCGTGATGTGTTTCCTGCCCAGTTCCGTGCCACTTGATCTAAACCCGACTTTCAAGCACCTCCGTGACTCCAGCTTAATGACCCATTTATGCGGAGGCCTTGACCTTGGCCAGAGCCTTGCGCTCCTCGAATCGTCGCTGCTTCTTGAGTCGGAGAACCTGGAAGCGCTCGAAGTCGGTGAGACCCTTCCTCCGCTCCATCTGATCCCGCTTCTTAGCCCAGTTGGTCTGCTCCCACTTGGAGTCGATCTCGGACTTCTCCCAGAGCTTTCGGACAACACCAGTTCGGGAACCGCGGTTCAAGCCCTCGACGATAAGAGAGGAGAGGAGGACCTTGCTGAGGGGAACGGCTTGTCGGGGAACAGCGAGGCTAGCGTTCGCGGAAGGACCGTCGACGAGAATCTGTGACGGGGTCAATATCGCGTGTTTCGGCAGACAAGCCTGATCTGAAGCAGGAGAAACCTACTCGCTTGTGGTCGATGATCTCGACGATCGTGGCCAGGCGGCCGGCGAAGGGGTGGTCGCCGTTGATAACAACGACACGGCCAACCTCAACGAGGCGCCAGTTCGAACCCTCAATGACTGCGTCGCCCATTGTGACGGTGATCTAATTAACGGTCGATTAGTCGAAATGTTTCAAGAGTCGCGCGCGCAGTGATTGATTCTTCGAATGCAACTGCGATCGTAGGAGTCGAGGTTCATACCAGTTGTCGATTATGCTGTCCCGTTAGTTGGTTGTTTGCTGGAGCCGCGGACCTTGAAATCGCTAAGGACTTTTTGATCGTGGGCAGAAAAAGATCCTGTGCGTGCCTGCCCTAACTTTTCGATCTAACTTCCGGACTAACCTTTTCGCCGTCCCAAACCGATTGGGGCCCAGCACCCGGCAACGGAGCACGGGCCAGCCGACGAGAACTTCAAAAGAAAATTTCTGGTAGACATCAAGTCTTGTACAGCCCAACAATTCTCTTCCTCTTTTATGATCGGAGAGGCACGCGACGTTTTTAAAAGTGCATCAAGGTAAGAATCCAACACCGCTCCCCTTTTCACCTTCTTCTCTCTCTTGCACAAGGATGAGGTAATTTGCGATTGATTCTGCTTGATGGTCCTCTTTCGCCGGAGTGGCTAAATCGGGCGGATAGCTGATATTCAATTTCTTACATATTCTGAAAGCACATTCTGTCTTATTCTTAGTCTTGCATGGCCTGGCATTTTACAAAGACTAACTCAAGAATATAGTGATACACTCCATACTTCTCTACCTTAGTCGCAAGTGTAGTTGGCATACTGCGAGCCTTCCAAGCCACTACAGGCAGATATATTTAATGTTGATCGCTGCAATTAATAATAATTATATAACCATTCAGAAGTCGTACAGTTCAGTTCGTTTGATTCATGTGACGTGCCGTATAATCTCCCGAACTCGATATCTGATGACCATGGAGTTGGAACATAAATATATACATATGTAGGTAGTGGTATAACACCCATGAACTGAGGCGTTTGGAGCACTATCATTGAAACAGACTTGTACTTCAACAAGACCACTAGGCTTCCTCATATTCACATACATAGTCAAGTCGCGATACGGCTTTCAATTCAATCATTAATTCATCCTTTCCGAATCATTTGCCTGCAATGAAACGGCCGTGATCTAAAGTATTGTTACAATTAAGCCTTGCCCTTGCGCTTCAACTCCTCTTCCTCTTCAGCCTGGATTTGAGCATCCACCTTTGCGCCCTTAGAAGGTTCGTTGCCGTGAGCGCGAGCCTTGTGGTTGCTGTTAGTTTTTCCTTCTTTTATTTTGGCACCAGGGCCAGATCTTGATTGGACTTACAGGCAGAGTGGGATCCTTCTTTAATTGGGCGGTCTCGAGATCGTCTTCAGGCTCGGATCGTTGCTGTTTTGCATTAGTATAGATATAATAGTGGATATCCTCTCGCGGCGGCTCAACTAACCTCCTCAGCAGCCAGGCGGTTGGCGATAGATCGCTCATCCTCTGCAATTTTTTTTTAGAAAATTTCCTCATACTTGATCGGCGGAATAGGTACGTACTGGAATCAAGGTTGTTGTGAGAGTTCTCCTTGCCCTCGTTGTAGGGGTCCTCAACGTTGCGCTCCGACTCAGGAGCGTTTCTCTGATCGCCAGCCTCGTAGACACCACGGTTACCAACGTTGGAGTAGCCAGACATGATGAATGTGTGTTGAGATGTGTGTGCTTAGTGGTTGAAAAGGAGAATTATGTGAAGAGATGAGGAGATGAATGATGTATGAGAAAAAGTTTCAATCGATCTCAAGACCCTTTTTGTAGTTCCGCTTCGACGATGAATCAGTGCCATGGTCGTACATCTTCTCCACAACCCTGACTTCATAGGATACGTCATGATAAAAGAAAGTCCTTGCTCACCACAACTAAAACGCATCAGATCGCAACACATACGTCATAAGTAAAAAGAAAAAGACTTTAGCTCTGCCTTAGGGTTTCTGCGACATATGTTTGTTGCAGTCGATCTTCTAGCGTAAGCGGTTGATTTCAGCTTGGCGAGGCGTCTGTCTATGATCCTTGACAGCAGGCCACGTGAGAGACTCAATGACATCTCACGAGTTCTCAATGAGAGAAAGTTCATTTTGCATATATGGAAGTAATGGAGACAGAATATTACATCGATTCCTTCTCACGTCAAGGCTTGCTGCCTGTGATACCGTATGCAACTAAGTTTGAACCCGGGACAATCAGGATGTTAGTCAGGCCCATTCGATCGTTACATTTGATTTCTTAAAAACCTTACTCATTGACAATCTGCTTGTAACATTTCGTGTTTGTTAGGTTCTTCCAAATACAAAACTACGGCTGGTTATCGAGGTATCTGCTGAGATGTGGACCTTGACTTGAGCATTCGCCCTGACCTTAACACCACATAGCCATGTTCTGCCAGGATAGTGACTGGTGGGATTAATGTAACTTTGACCCCTCTAAGGATTAATATGTGATAGTGCTTGAGTAAAGTTAAAAGTCACTACCAAAAATTTATATTTTTGTACCCACGTTGAGCTATCGTCTCTGCATTAAGTTGCCATTGAGACTTGATCGAAGAAGTAAAGGATAATATGACTAGGATTAACAATGAGGCTACTTAAATCTAATAATCGAGACCTGAGATTTGAGATAAATAAGGTAATACAGTATTTCTAATACCATATTTACAAGTGACTCCAAAAGACCCTAGATGTAAGATTAATGACAATTAAAAAACACATGTCCCAAGAACATTCCCTCTCTAAGGCATATAATTATATATCTCTGGTCATCCATGAGAAAGACGGAAGATAGCGGATGGATGTCGTGGTGGGGGTCCACCTCATGCACGGGCCCTGCACATCCGAGCCATTAAGTCATCTTCGGCGTGACAAGCTTCATGGAGCTATACCGAATCGTAGCTCCGACATCAACCTCCATGAACGATCGTGAACTTTCAATAATTGTTTCACAAACATAAACTTTTAAGGAACAACCAGACAAAATGTTTCGCTTCGTAAGTTACGAGGCCAAGATCAGATATACGTAGTTGCTAACAAGAAAACAGCATAAGACACTCGATATCGTGACAGTCTTCCACAAGGCCAGCTCTCCAGCATCCGTCAGAGTCGCCAACCTTTTGAAGCAGGTCTCGGCCAATGCCACTTCTGGCGCTACTCTTGACCAAGCGAGCGATCACTCCGCCCAGACGGCACCCATTCGAGACCAGTTTGAGCTCAACATCACCGAGGATCCTCCTACAGACGACCAGGTGAAGACAATTCTGGAATATGTTGGAAACAAAGGTATCCCCAAAGTGATCAAGGGCGCAAATGACGAGAAGGAGGCTCTTAGGAAGTTCAAGGAGAGCAAAGAGAACTTCATTAGACCAGTGGTACGTTGCCTCTTTAACCTCACGATTGAAACCTACTGACCAATATACGTATAGGTTGTGGATTGGAACAACGGCAAGGCCATTGCTGGCGACAACGAGTCTGAGATCCTCAAGCTTCTGAAAGCACAGAAGTAACGCCTCTAAAACTGCCCATGAACTATCGCATAACCCCTCTCTGTATATACTATGTCAATGATCCATACCATCTGACGATCAGCCATATTAGCATGCTTGTATTAGTGACCGACCCATCATGAGCCGATGATAGTAGGTTGACAAACGCTCGATTTTCTATTCGAAATGCTACAAGACATTGCCTTGGGTATGATTGCTAGCACATTTACGGAAAGGCCCTTTGTGAACAATGGCAAACTTTGGCGTTTAAATCTACCAGACGTGAACCGTATGCCATCAAAGGGCACTGGCATTAACATCGTCTGATCGCATGGCACTTTTACTCAACCAAGCAAGAAACGAGTTCTGACAGATATTTCACAATCTGCCTTCAAAGAGTGGCCGTTTGTGTGGAGCGAGAATCAGCAAGCACCCGCGTTGAGCTGCAAGACGCTTGGGCGACTGCATTGTTGACGCGTTGAGTAGGTACCTCGAGCAAAACTAACATTGTATTATCTGGTACTTGGTATATAAATACCGGCAAACCCAAGGTTAGTTGTGACCAAAGTCTGTTACAATCTATTATAGGCGAGTTAGCAAGCAGGCTGCGAGCCGTTCAGGAAGGTTTCCTTACCTTTGTTTGACTTGGACAGTTTGCACTCCTCGAGTCACAAGCAAGCACTGCAAAGGCATAACTGTTGGTGAATGGATAATTGCAAGCGAGAGAGACTTGTGATCACCAGCTCAGGTCTACACCAGCTGTGCCAGTGCGCATCAGTGTATGCCAGTTACTAACATTATCAGTGCCAGTCACTTAAATGTTTATTCGGTGACAGTGTCGGCGGCAGTAAGGGCAAAGCCAGAGCAATCATTGCCACCTCAGTCTTCGGGTTTACTCTTATTTTCAGTTTCTCTCTCAATTCTTTCCTCTGCTTTCTCTTCTTTTCTTTCTCCTCCAACCTCACCTCACTCCCGCTTGTCTCGAGAACACCGACAAATCTGCCCTACTCCTTCTTTCCTCACGGCGCATCATCGCGCGTTGAGCATCAGCTTGAGGAAGGAACTAACTTCCTTCTGAAATCAATCACCTTCATTTTATACCCGAATTTGAACCATAACTTGCCCTTCTTTTACGCTTGGGCGCTTCACTTCTCAAGGTAAGCCACCAGCACCTCTACCTACTAACCTACGCATTCCCCCATTTATCGAGACGAGGTGAATGCTTCCATCTCATGATCCCTCAAGAGCTTCTAAGCTGGGATGAAAGTTTTCGCTTCGTTCTCAAGATGAAGCGCGCCTTGTCTCATCATGTGCTAACCGACTGTTACACAGAGCATCATGGCTCAACCTCAACCCGCTTCGGCGGGTGAATCCTCCATGTCCATCGGGCCATCGCCGCCGCCTCAACCAGATTCGGACCCGAACCGGACTTATGCCAGAGACCAGCCGCCTAACTTGCGCGAAGCCTTCACCAGCTTCTACCCCAATGGCCTACCCAACCTCTACAAAATGCTGCAGACACCTGGTCCTGAGGGCGTTGTTCAAACGTACGTCGAAGACTATCTCCCTGTGGGATTCTACAGCAACCCCCCAGTCGGGGCCAAAGCCGTCTTCTCTACCTGTAATGGATCGAACCCTTTCCATTTCATGAAGCATCTACTGCCTCAGCGCCGCGTTCACCTTTGGTCCGCAGACGAAGTTCAATCTGCTTGCAACTCACTTCGTAAGCTCTACTGGGAGGTCATAAAAGACATGCCGCATCCAGACTGCTGGGATAGCTTGTGGGACTATTTTGATGCCCAAGACATTTACAATTACGGAGCTTTGAACCTCTGGAATGTGGTCAGTCAACTGTTTGTCGAGAACCAGTCTATCGCCCTCGACGTCCATAATGCTTTTTCCATCGAAATTGGCCAATGGGTTGACAACTGGCTGTATGACGACGAAAACCGCGCCAAACTCATCAAGAGCAATGAAACTGGTCTTTCTATCAATGGTGTCATCGGCTGGGAAGCTCTGAAAGGCTTTCCGGATGTTGCCATCCATCTTTTTGCAAGTGCCCTTGCGCATCGACGATCTCTGTTACTATCGCCCGAGAAATTGAGGCCAGGTGCAATGAAGCCTAATCACCTCAAGGAGTTTTATGAAAATGGGCGCCTCGAAAACTGGCTAGGTATGTGAAGTTTGCTTTCAAAATCAGGTTCTACCGTTATGCTGACAACTTCATAGCGGGCCAACGCGTCCTCGGACCTTCGGGCCTGTCTACAAGGCCAACAGAATGGCAGCATCACCATTCCTCCCCTGCTTCAGAGAACGTCACTCACCCTATCATGGTGCATGATGGCAAACACTACTTTAGACGGCCTGAATACCGTGTGCACAGTGCGGTAGAAGCGCTCCACCAATCCGCAGCAGCAGCAGGGCCTTCCGTTCACGGCAACAGCGAAACAACCTCGATCGAACACAAGCAGGCTAACGACACGATCTCTCGCGGTGGTCTCCAGGTAAAAGCTCAGGCCAGAAGTAAATCCACAGAGCTTTTCCCTTCAGTCCGAACACCATCTCCCCACACCAATGGTAAAGGAAATGACGCTTCGTCTTCCAACGGACACCACGATCAGGAGGAGCAGGAGGACTTTGATGCAATGACCCCCACAAGAGTCAAAAGGCAGGGCCGCAAAAATCACCAGACCACACGAGGACCTCGGAAATCCACAGTGACAACATCATTGCCAGGCTCAGCAGTTATGCGTAACTCAAGTCTTGCTAGTCCTACAAAAGATGTTGCAAATGCCAAACATGGCACAAACCAGCGGCCTCCGACCGATAGCCAGAAGGCTGATTAGCAACTAGCCCAGGCTACTTCGAGTCGTTCAAAGGACCATATCACTGGAAACATCATCAGAGATGCAGAGTTGCGGTTGAGCACCAATGACAGACCCAAGAACCAGCGACCAAACCGAGCTTTTGATGAGCCAGTGGCTTACGGTCAGAAAGAAATGAAGTATCCTGGAACCACGAGTACATTCAATCAGATGCAAAGGCCCGACGCAAGCTTTCAAGACAGCGCGATGAGTACTGAGCCCCCTGAAGATATGAGACTTTCTGGGCAATTCGCGATGCCGACCCCTCCCGTGGCACCCTTTTACCCGTCAGGAACCTTGAGCCCTACCATTCAAGGAGACCATTCTTTACCTCGCCAACAGAATTTTCCCATGCAGAATGGATTTGACCATGGATTTTCACCAGCTCAGCAGTCACAACCGCTTCAGAGGGGTTCTTTGCCTGGTCGTGGTAGAAATACCAGCAACACTTCCCGCAACGATCGCTTTGATTCGAACGATGGCCGATGGTCTCACCAAAGCCATGAGAATAACAACGGTGGGAATTCTGGATCGAGTCGTGGAGGCTTCTATTGCGGAGGAAATCGTAAAAGCCGCCGCGGTGGCCACAACCAGCGAAACGCAACTGCGCCTGTTGCGCAACCTCATACCGGCCTTGATTTCAACCAGAAGAGGCGTGAGGGGGCACCATGGAAGGATTCATGGCGTCGAGATACAGTTACTTGCCAGAACGTTCAGGATGGTTTTACGATCAAAGATTATGTACCTTGCTCTTGTCCGATCTGCGATTCTCGTGACCGCTCTGTACACATCATTGTCCAAGGCTGTCAAGGAATTACTGTTCCAGACATACTCGCACGACTCAAGTTTGGCCTGGCTGAGAGATATGGACATGTAGACGAGGTGTTCCCGATAGCCTCGAAAGAACCAGGACGTTTTATCGCCCGGTAAGTCATGACTCGTTTCGGATTCATGTTGAATTCAATGACAAACTAACAAGAATTAGGTTTGCAAAATCCTCGTCAGTTGGTGAAGCACTGACTATTGGCGGCGGCAGCATGCCTGAGCAAGGCATATCTGTTACATTCTCCGCTGCGTTGCGATCAAAATGGACACTCTTGAAGAAAGCACCCACTCGACCACTACCAGGTCGAGTTTCTGGTCAGAACTCCGCCGCTCCACCATTCTCTCCTTATCCTTTCGGCCTATCGATGCCAGGCAATGTGCCGAGTACTGCCGCAGTCCCTCACATGATGCCAGGCATCCTTCATCCGGCTGCAGTCAATCCTGGACAAGCACATAACAGTCATTTCTGGCAATCCAATGGAGGGCAGCGTTCTGTATCTGGGTTTGTACAACCTCCAGCCTCTGGTATTCTATCTGCAACTGTGCAGTCCGCACCCGGCATACAGGCACACCTTGCTGGACAGGTGACTCTGGATCCAAGACAAATTGTCCCTCCTTCCATCCATCAGGCACAGGAAAACGCATCCCCTCCTGCGGTATTGCAGACTAAACCTCCGTCTGAAGAAGCTTTGGATGAAATCCATCACCTTGATCAAGATGATCGGGGTAGTCCACAAAGTGACATAAGCAAGTATACTGGGATCAAAGCTCGTGTTTCCTTGCCCAGCACCCCTTCGAAAGCTTCCCTTCCCTCCCAAGGGACCCCAACGAAGCCAAACGAAACAGCAGAAGGGCTTGCGGGTATTGATACGACAGTACATCACCAAAATGAGATGCCCATTGAGGCGCCTGAAAGCCAGGCAGAAACAAAGATCACATCCGGTCATCAAGCTGAACAACTGTCTGAACCAAATGGTAGCAAGAGCAGTCACAGTCGTGTGCCAAGCTTATTTTCTGAGAATGAGAAAAAAGAGAGGCGACGAGCATGGGCTAAAATTCCTATGCCTCTGACTCTCCGTGGGCCTCGCTCAGTTACTCCAAAGAACCCCATCAGCATCACCACCGAGCGTGGCAGCAACTCTGGGGTTGAAAAGAGAGAGAATCGCGTACCTAATGCTACACAGCCGGAGTTGCCAATCTCAGGACAGAATGAAACCTCTGCTCCAAGCATCAGCGATGTTTACGAGTCATCTATGTCCGAGAATCCCGAGTCTAGGTTTCCGTTACCGCCAGCGCCAAAAAGCTCTTCTGCTGCCCACTCCACCAGGCCAACAAAAGAAGATGCTACAGAACCGCAGGGTACCACTCTAGATGAAGTACAGCCGTCTGAGATGCCTGTAGCCTCTCCCGTGACCGAAAATGTCATATCCAAAGTTGAACAAACATTTGAGCAAGAGCATACTTCAGACACGCTACCAAGAGGCAAAGGAAAGAATGCGAAGAAGGCCAAGAAAAAGAAAGCGAAGAACATGGCACCCACTAGCAACGAATCTAATCACGCCTTTCAACAAAACGAGCCGCCGTCTTCTCCTCGCTCCAGCAACATGGCACCTCAGCACATGCATGGTAGCAGTGGAGGAGGGATGGGGTCTGATACACGCCATGGAGGTCTTATCGGAAGTCTGGAATCGGGTGCATCCTCGCCTATCAAGCGACACCACAATGAACCTGAGCAGCCTTCTGTATCTGGATCTGCTAAGCGAAGTAAGAAGCAAGGGAATAAGTACGAAATGGCCCAGCACCAGCACCAGCCTCAGCCTCAAACCCAACCTCCATTTGACGAATCAGACTCGCCTGATGAGGACGAACGCGGCCGTCGTGGATTTAGAATGGGTAGAGGAGGTTCACTTCGCTTTGGCAAGCAACGCCGACCTCGCCCTATGATTCCTAGCTCAATGCTTGCAGGAGAACAATTCGATGCTCAAGCGCCACCTCCTTCGACGGATTTTGCTTTCCAATGCCAGAGCCTCCCCGAGTCTGATGACTCACTATACTTGCGCGATCATGGAAATAGCGCAAAGAGCCGCCTCAATCCCGAGGCCCGAGAGTTTGTATCTCCATCGAGAACAGCATCTCTCAGTAAAGGACCAGTTGTCAATCCTAGCAGTGGTGAAGCATCAAGCAGTGGCACAATGACTGAATCAGCTGCCAAACATGACCAAACAGATGAACTGATCCGAGAGGTCCCCAAGACCGGGCACGATGATGCATGCGAGACAACTCTTCAGGATGACAAAGTCCCATCCGCCGTAACCAGCCAGACCCCTAAACGTCGTCGGGCCATCTCAGAAGCGGTCCAGAAAGGAACTCCTAAAAAGGAAAAGGGGCCTGCTCAACAAGGAGAGGGAAAAAGGACTCCGGCAAAAAGTTCAAAACGAGGCAAAGGCAAGGAGAGGGCAGTGACGGTGAGTGCCAAGACCGACAAGGCTGAGGCAAAGGTCGAAAAAGCTCAAGAGATACCTCAAACCCCGGAAAATCAAGGAGGGAAGGTCAAGAAGCCTGGCCTGATTGACGATGACTGGCCCTCGCTTCCAGCCTCTCGGGAACGGGCACAGTCCAAGCCACAGACACCCTCGATTTGGGGTGGAAAGACAAAATCTACCCAAGATGACGGTGGACTCGGACAAGGATCTCCTGTCACGAAGAACTAGACTGTGACGCGACCGAGCAGACATGAATCGTGAAAGGGTCAGGGATTTTATCTCGGTTGGCGCCTTTCGCTCAACTTTACATCAAATCAGTAGAGGGGAAGGGGAAAAGGATGAATAGGGGACATGGTAGTGAATTTCCAAGGGTTTGCTTGCATTGGGCATGGACAGGTTGGATTGCCCATTGGCATAGTTGGTGATATCTGCCCTGTTGGGCACGTCATAGTGGTCTCAGGTCAAGGGATTAGAAAAAAGTGTGATTTATGCCAGGCGTAATATAGTACCGTGAGTGCAAAGGTGTTTCTTGATAATAGTGAGGTGCTGCTACATTGATATTGCAAGCCTAGAAGCGTATATGTCTCTCGATGTGTTAAGATTCGGGGTACGTTATGACCCCAGTAGCGAGCGACGAGGCCATGAAGCAGCTACGAGGAGGTCGTTATTCAAGATGATGGATGGATGGATGGGCCTCGGAGTAGTACAATGCTCTCCTGTCCATGCTGAATTGACCCTTATGTACATTTCATCGTCGTGATGGCCGAGCTCGAGGTCCCTCCCTATAACTTGTCTTTCTTTTCGCAAATATTGATCAAGCGAGACTCGTGATTCTATTGGTCAGCCTTGACCAAGCCAGTGACGGTCTCTTCAATCTCCTTGTCGGAGAGACCCTCGAGGATCTGTGACTTCTCGACACCTCGGTCTGTTTTGATCATGTCAGTACTGCCGTGATCTCGATGATATCGCTCTAGTATGTCCGAGGGCTTCCAGCGACGTAGATTACGAACCGTATCGGGCAAAGACCTTGGGCTGGGTGCCAGCGGCCTCTCGGATCAGGATGGGGATGTTGGGGTTGTTGCGCTTCATGGTAGGGTACGATCGGGTGATGAATGATCTATATCGGCGCAAGAAACAATCAGCCCAATGGTTCCTCAAGTTCTACTGTCCTTGTACAATGTCGCTCGATCTCTCGTGTCCTCCAATGCGCCCAATTGGACCAGTATCATGCCGATTGTTGTTGTCGTTGGGAGTAGTATGTATAATATGGTTTCAGACGTACCGAAGAGCCGCGCTCTGCTCCGAAGTCTGGCAAAAGAGGAATCGCACCTCGCGGAGAGACTTGGTGAAAGCGTACTTTGCCGACATTATGAAGCGAATTGACGTGGTTGAGTCGTTCGTTAGGTAAAACAGACAGAAGCGACGGAGTCGGGTCGACCTTGAAGTGCTAAGTAATTGCAAGCTTGTGGTTGGCAAGGATCCTCAATGAGGCTCGAGTGGGAAACTGAAAGGCGGTACTGTACAAAGGTTATGTACGTATAATTTGCATAAAAGAGCCAGTGGATGTAATACTTTAGGTTTAGTATGTGTGCATAATTCAGTTATGCACAGCCTCCGGTGCCGCTGACAGCTTTTCCTCCCTCCCCCACGTACAATGGCAAATGGATGGATCCATGAGGTGCCTGTACCCGTAGTTCGTAGTGAGAGTGAGCCCCGGACGCACGATAACTCCGGTTTCCGGGCACGGTGCAGTGAAGTATTTAGTGGATGGTGCGCTAAATCCACAGCACCACAGCAGTAGAGTTGAGTGCAGGTGGGCTATCTATCTCGGGACGACAGTGACCGACCACCCTTGCCCCAACGTCCCAAAGCTTAGTCTTTCGCCGACGTTGAACCTCATCTTTTTGACCACAACCTCTCTTCTGTTGAACCAATCTCCTCTCCACCAAGAGATCAACGTGTAAGTTTGCTATTGACTGTCTGATCGCGGATTCAATTGTGTCATTCATGCTTTTCTATGCGGTCGCCGAAAGTCTCGATTTGCGCGCAAACAACCCATCTTGACTACCCAACTTTGTGATTCTTGATATTGCATTGGATCTCATATTAATATTGATTGATATTGGTACTGACGATAATCGCATAGCGATCATGGCCTCCTCCGCAAACACCATCTTCCGCGCCTCGCGCCCCCTCTTCCGTCAGGCTACCCTCGCCGCGCCCGCTCGACAGGCTTTCCATCAGCAAACATTCCGACAGAACTTCTACCAGGGCAGCGGCCGTCGATGGCAGAGCACTGACGGCGCTCAGCAGCAGCAGCAGAGCTGGTTCAAGCGCATGATGGAGAGCGAGGTTGGCTTCAAGACTGTGCATTTCTGGTAAGGACAAGTCTAGAACAAGCCATGGTTGACCCAGAATGCTAATATGTGTGGTTGTAGGGCTCCTGTCATGAAGGTTCGTTGACTACATTATCCCGCGATATCTACACTACGGATGCAAATACTCTCGAAACCCCGATATAATCACAATTACTGACCTTGTTCGCCATCTACAGTGGGCTCTTGTCCTTGCCGGTATCTCCGACTTCGCTCGTCCCGCCGAGAAGCTCTCTTTCACTCAGAACCTCGCTCTGACCTGCACCGGTATCATCTGGACTCGATGGTGCCTCATCATCAAGCCCAAGAACTACCTGTATGCTAAAAACCCACCAAATAATACACACTCAAGCTAACAGGTGTCTCTTAGTCTCGCCGCTGTCAATTTCTTCCTCGGATTGGTCGGCCTCGTCCAGATCACCCGAATTCTCAGCTACGAGTCCGCAAAGAAGAAGAGCCTGGAGGGTGTCGTTGAGGACATCAAGGCCGACGCCAAGGAGACCATCCAGGAGGCCAAGCCTTAAATGCAATCAAGCATGGGCGAGTTAGACAATTGTCGAAAGGGGTGGCCTTTACTCCGACATATCTCACGATTTGTAATGCTACAGTCGAATACTCCTTACAGAGGGACTGCTTTCGAAAGGCGTGGGTCGCAAATGGACGCATTTATTGCTTGAAAAAGGAGGGTGTTGCAAAGCTATTTCAGAGTCAGGGGAGCTCAGGAATAGCTTGTCACTTTTTTACATGGTAGATTACCACACATATAGTCAGCATGTAGAATTGAGGAAGGGTTGGGTTCAACAAACAAACACGTACAAGACATGACTTGCATATCGTAATTTGAATGAATATCAAACCACACAGTGGTTATCTACCTAGGTACCTGAGGTAAGGTAGGTATATCATACCAGCTATGCAACAGCCAGTGACCTTCATTGTCATTATAATCCAAATCCACTATAGATATCTCTCTAAATTGTTCTTTAGGTATCATTCATGATGGCATTCACAACACCAGCAACTTCTTATACACCACCTATGAACGCCCTGCCACAAATATTTCCCTTCGCCATAGATAGCCTCAGCCATCCATCCAATCATTAGCTGGCCGCTTGGGCCATGGAGCGTCAAGTGAGGAACCAGACCAGTGCCGATATGTACATGTACAGACTCAAAGAAAAGATAAGCCCTATCCCTTTCTTCTGAACAACCCATCAATTTGGTTGTTCATCTCATGATCTCAAGTCATTCACATTTCAAGATCTTGTGCCCACGCCGGGTGGGTACTGAGTCTCTAGAGATGCTTGCTCATCATCGTAACCATTATCAATCATTCGCTTCCTCTCATTTCTCCGTGTGTCCGTCGTTCAAAAGCATCTCCAAAACGATCTGTCGACCTGGGAGCTCCGGATGGGCCATGGCAATCTTGACGGTGCCCTTTGACCCTTCGCTACCCGCGCTTGTCGACTGCATATATCCGTTAGTGTGTGACTGCGGATTCAACGTGCTTCGGCCAGTCGGTCCACGGACGCCGAGATCGAGCACGCGCACGTCTCGACCGGCTATGATTTGGCGCAATCGTCCGTTCTCCGCGTTGCGCACCTCAACATAGTCCTCGTTAAAGAGGAGCAGATACTGTCCATACATGGTCGCACCACGGGCCTTCTTCTGTTTGCCCGTGTACTCCATGATCAGCGTGCGGCTGACATCGCCGTGTTTGTCCACGTATACAGCGCAGTCCTCATATGTCACGATGAATTCGTTCTCGTTCAGCCTGAACATGCCGAGCGGCTTCTGATCTCGGATGCGGCTGGCAATGTTGGCAATTGCAGGCGCCTTAAGGTCGGGGATAGACATAGGCTGCTTCTTATCCAGGGTGAGCATCTCGACTCCCTTCGCTGTCGCAACTGCAATATATGTTTGGAACAGACTGAGGGAATAGCACTCAGTTGGGAAGAAGAATTCGTCAAAGTCGCGGAATGTCTCCGCGCATCCACCACCACCGGTCTTTCGTCCGCCAAAGAGCCGAGACTTCTTCTCGGTAGACTTCTGGAAGATAGGCTCCAGAACCTTGAATGATGTATGCAGGCCTTCTTTTCGTTTGTAGAACAGGAGCATTCTGTCCTTCATCTTAGCTGTCGCAAAGTAGGTGACGTCCTTGGCAAGTCTCTGTGGTGCCCGTCGAGGGCTGTCGTTTACAGGGGCCGAGAAGTCAGACACCGGGGCGACCACATCTAGAGGATATGAGATGAGGTTCTTGTCGGCAATGAGTACGCAGACAGAAAACTCCTCAAGGACAGCAATTTGAGTGACACGAGTTGCTGGGACCGTCTGCAATGAAATTGTTAGCTATAGTAGATTGAAGAAAAGGGTGCCACATACCCTCTGCCATCCGCGAGGATTTGATGGCTCCGAGATATAAACTCCGTAATCAGTTCCGATCGCGATAACAGACTTGCCAAAGGCAGTGAAGCTGGTAGCGCAGTTGACCTGAGCACGGCATACAGGGGCGACGCCCTGGGCCGGTCCTAGTACGCTCTCCAACTCGTGAATTGCCCGGTCAAGAGGAGTGCCCTTGACTGCAACACTGGAGAACCTCGCGTACATAGAGGCGGTGTCGTAGTGGAAAGCTGCATCCGCGAGAACCCGCAGCCTGAATGGCTCAGCATTTTGAGAGAAGAGTGCCTTGGCGTGCCTTGTCTTGGTTTCGATAATCATGTTGCACCAGTCGGCACGATCCTTGGCTGACGATGCATACAGAGTATAAACCTCGTGACCCAGATGCTTGACCTTGAACGGATACAGGATCTTTCCTTCGGTGTCGTTCGAGCCGGTCGGTGTACCAGAGGCCATAGACGAGTTTGTCGCTGCGTGCTCCAGACCAGGTCTACTAGTGTTACTGCTGACCTTGTTAAGTTGAGTGCTGGAGGCGGCCGCTGCCGTAGTTCTTCCCAATGGAGCAGTGATGCCCTTTTGCTTCTGAACTGGTTCGTCGTTGATGCTCTCAGGAAACAGGAGAGGCATGGGGATGGGCTGCGCCTGGTTAGATGCGGTTCCATAAGCTGTGCACTAGACTTTCACGTACCTCCTTGGAAACATCATACTTCTTGTCCTTGCCCTCCTTGGGAGTCACCGTCTTGGCCAGGATCATGTAGTGGTCGAATAGCAAAGCATGTGTGTCAACCCATCTGACTCCCTTGGATCCCATTCTTTGTAGGTCGCCTTGGAAGATCAACTCACGGCCAAGGTGGTCGAGATTCAAAACAGAATGGAAACCTGGCCGCAGCACGAGCATTCTGTTCAGTTCCATCATTTCGACTCTCTTGTTTTGTTCTTCGACCTTGAGATCGGACTCGAGAGTGACCTGTCGGATTTCCGCGATGGCCTTGGCTAAGTTCGTCTTTTCCTCGCTGTCGGTTGGCATCTTTTTCTCGACGCTGTCGAGTAGAAGGGAGTAACGCTGAAGGCGCTGAATAGGCGCGATCAAGTAATGTGTCCAATCTTGCTTCGAAGACACCTTTTGCTTCTGCATGTCGTCCAAGAATCGCTTGAAGAGAATATTGCGATCGGCCTCCCTTCGAACCTGATAGACTGCGTTGGGGTAAGCCGAAGCATACTCGATATAGACTGATTTGGCCTTGCGAATCCATTCTCGGAACAGATCGCTGAAGCCGATGATCCAAGGGCCCTGCTCTTGTTGTCGATACTTGAGCTGCGACAAAAGATGGTCCTTGTTGATTGCCTGGACCTGGTCAAGCTTTCCAAACACCGTATGCAAAAACTTGTCTCGCTTCTCGGGCTTCAAGACAGGAGGTTGCATGGCCCGAAGCTGATCCCTGTAATACCTGCGGAAGATATCCAACTGCTTGATATAGTTTTCCTCGCCAGTAACAATTTCGTGTAAAATGTTCTGACGCTCGACCTCCTTCTTGGGCTTTGATTCCCAGTCGGCCTTGGTGAGACCATAAAAGACGTGCCACTCGTCTGCAGGTTGAGAGTCCTGGGCGAGCTCCTCCAAGTCAACCTTCTTGATAGTACGAGTGCAGTGATGAGAGTAGCACCGGCCACCAATCTCTTCGTCGTGGACCTTGGGAGCATAGCAACCAGAGCCGGTCAGTTGCCACAAAACTCCAGAGATGCGGCCGTTTCCAAATTTGACCCATTCTTCATCAGGTACAAGCACACCTCGTTCCAGCATCAGTGATACTACATGTGTGCTAAGAACTTCGGCATCCGCCACATTCATCATAGGAATCTTGCCAGTGAAGAGGTTGATCAAAGCCTCCTCGATCGTCTTGGTCCTTAGATCCATCTCACCTTCTCCCATCTCACGAATCCAATTTTCAAGACCGCTGAGCGCCCATGGCTCAGCGCATCTGCGGAAATCAGAGGCATTAAGCTTGGAAGGGATGAACTTCTTCTTTCGGCCGCTTGGTAGTGTGATTCCATCAAAGGCCGCTATCGAGCCAGCAGGAGTCTCATATTCCGGGAATGATTGGTTCGATGGCACTTGCTGATGACCGTGCCGGGCGAGCTTCCTCCTTTCTTCGGCAGCATCAGTCCTGGATCGAGCAGGTGTTTGCACCTGAGGAGTATGGCTATGACCAGCCAAAGAGATGGATCGTTCGGGTTGCAGGTTGTAAGCTTGATTTCCCGTATAGTAAGCTTCAGGGTTATCCGGCGCACCAAATCGCGAATCGGTACTACGCGAGTATGCGTGTTGGTATTGCTGTCGGTTGTTGGTCTGAACCGAGAGCATCGAGCTGCTATCGGATCCTGGCCCCGGGATAGCTGGGAGGGGTCGGTTTGATAGTCCCGGGTGGTAGAACAGATCTTGCAGTTCATCCTTACTAGGAGACTCCGTTCCGCTCTGTCGAGACCGCAGTGATACTCGTTCATCCTCCTCGTCGAAGCTCAGCCGATGTTGTGTTGGGGGCTGCAAGCCTCCTGTACCGCCGTAGTCTATTTCTGCCGTCTTGAACGCAGGCACACTTTCCCCTTGATCATATGCACGGGTGAAATAGCCTGGCGTGGGCAGGGGTCGACCAGTATCTTGGCCGGATGAGGCGGGTGGAGATCCAACATCCCCGCCGTATGTCAAAGTACCACCAAATCCACCCCCTAGCATTCCCAAGTCTACACCAGCAAAATCACTGTCGCTGCTGTGGCCTTGCTCTTCAGGGTGAGTATGTAACACCTTCGTTGGCAAAGAGTTGATAGGAGCGGGCTCTGGAGAGGGTTCTGGCATAGCAGGCATGTCCGTATATCCGAAGCCGGTACTGAAGCGCTGTTCGTCAAGCTCAGCTTGCCGCATGGCCATCAGACCAGCCTCACCATATGCGTCATCATCTTCTTCAGGCTCATAAGCTGTCTGACCAGTTCGCGTGGATGTCGTTCGGCTAGCATTGTTAGGAATCGTAGTGGCACCTGAGTCAAAACGTTGCAATCGCTGGCCATGAAGATCGTCATCATAATGACCATTCTCAGGCTCAGGAAGCGGACGGTAGCCTTGTCCAGAGCCACC